GCACTCACTTTAAACACTCGCTGTTTTCGCTCGTTCTTTCAAAGACCCATTTCACTGCACTTGTTATAGACGTGTTCTGATTAGCAAGTAAGCAGACCTTAGACTGATAACAAACTCCTGTTCCCAGGATTGAAAACCGACTGTTATTTTTTTGTCATACTTCATGTTGTTAACACAAGGTTTGAAATTTGTTTGTTTGTTTGTTTGTTTATTATATAGCACAGTTTAATGCAACTCCAGGTTGCCCAAAGTGCTTCACAATATCACAATAAAATTACATAAAAACAAGCATAGTCCGAAATAACAACACAAATCACATAACAACATGGACACAATTTCAAATAACTAAACCTGCATCACAACAACTCCTCATTAGTCTTTAACAACCAGTTAAACTCTGCGGACCCGGATACGGGTCCAAATCGCATAAAAAATGTTTATGCTTCATTTGCATAGCCTTCCTTATATGGTATCAGCCCATATATGGGTTCATTTGAAAGCTTGGAGTGTCTTCTTTACAAAGAATACCATTCCTTTTGGTTTTTATATTCATAAAGCAGAAAAATTAAGCTTAGAAATGTATTCGTCCCACACACGATTTTCCGCCTAGCCATTGCGAACTTTTTTTACGAAGAATGTGTATTTGATATATTTTTCACAATAAAGTCAATTCATATATCACAAGAAAGCTCTCATTCTCAGGAATTTGACGATGTATATTATTTAATTGTGTGACATAGATCGAATTATCTTCAATTGAATTGCGATGTAAAAAAAAACTTTTTTATTGTGTAACATTTCTACTCATAGCACTGCTTCAGTTAGCCGCAAACAGCCACAAATATCTATAAACTCTATATTATCTTTTAGCTTATGATCTCTTCTTTCAAACAAGACCATTTTCACGTTTCTGCGTGCTTCCATCTGTGAGATATTTGCGTTCTGTCCAGGTAACGGAATCCAGCGCTTCAGTGGATCACGGCCCTCTCCATCTCATTCCAGCGCGCAGGGAGCCCTTCTGATGTTATAAAGATCTGCGGCCAGTTCTGGGCTGAAAATATGTCAGTTGTACGTTTTAGTGCCTGTAAAAACGTAAATGTACGTTTTATAGAACCACATTTTACTTAAAATACATACGAATTATCATGAGATCACGTTGCAGCGAGAGAAAGAGAGTGTGTGTGTGTGTGTGTGTGTGTGTGTGTGTGTGTGTGTGTGTGTGTGTGTGTTTTCGGGACAAACCATTCCAGTCAAGCCTGACACAGAGTTCTGTAAATAAGAAGAGCAGGCCAGACACTCAGCTAAGACAGATTCAGTGTTGTGAAACCATCACTTGTGATGATTTGTAAGTTTTTACACCATAGCTGAAAGTTGTAACTTATAACTCACAACAATGGATGACTCTATATTGATTGTTTGAGTCATTATGACTGTGCAGAAAGTACCATTAATTGTGGCTACACTTTTGTAATTGTTTCTATAATGTAACTTCCTTTTTTATGTTTCACACAGATTTTTAATAACTTGATGCAACAGGATAAACTTTTATGTTTCAGAAAGAACTTTTAAAATAGGAAAGAAAAAAAAGTGATGAATGTAACTGCGTTATGAACAATTGTATTCTGAAAAAAAATTTTTTTTTTTAAATATTTTATTACAATATAAATAATATATATATGTACATTTCTTATGCTCATCAATGCTGCATTTATTTAATCCTAAATACATTAAAAACAATAATATTGTGAAATATTTGGACGATCTAAAATAACAGCATATTTTCTATCATTTATTAAGAATAAAAATAAACAATGTTAGATAGATAGATAGATAGATAGATAGATAGATAGATAGATAGAATCCTGAGCCGAAGGTCTTTTGCATTAAAAATTACATAACTGAGTGAATGACACTTAATGACAGTTGTCATAAACATGCATAAAAACCCTTCATATTCATGACATGTGTCATGTCATGATTATGTAGGTGTCATGTCATGATTATGAAGGTGTCATGTCAGTCTTATGCACACCCCTTCAAGTAAAGTGTAACCTTTTATCATTATAGGGTGGTTGTGTACACACACTGCCAACACACATTTCAGTTCAAATAACTTGTAAAAGTGCATGTAGCATCCTTTGACCCCTTTAAGAAAGTACGCTAGAAGATGCAGTCTACATATTAAGGTGTCCTTCATCTGTTAGGAATCTAGTGATTCACAATCTACTGATTGTGTACTTTAGGCTGGCTTCAGGGAGGGAAGAAATGTGAAGGAGGTTGAGTGGTCGTCACTCTCTGTAGATTCATTCAGAGATGAGAGGGAGAAATAAGTGAGGGATCAAACCCATCCTGTTCTGCAGGATGGTGGAATGTTCCTATATAAAGAAGGCCCCAGGCATGTATCCAAACATCCTTTAATCTCTCTTTCTCTGTGTGTATGTGTGTATGCTGTATGGCAGGCTGTGTTTTCAGCTTGAGCAGTGAAGCCTAAGGGAAGCCTATGGGAAAGTTAACACCTTGTTTTTTCACTCATCCATTCTACCAGAAGCTATGACTAGACTAACTTACCGAACTTAATGATCAAGAACACTTAGGGATCCATTCCAACAAGGATGGAGTTCAGTAAGTTCCAAAATGATGTCTGAAGCCCATTATCATAAAAAGAAGGGAAATCTTGTAAAACAGTGCGTAGTTGCTGCTTTGTTAAACAGTTTACTGATAATATAGTCAGTCAGTCACTACAATATAGTCAGTCAGTAACACTTCTTGTGTGTCCATTAGCTGTTTCATCACAGATCATCTCATAAAATGATGTGCACTTGCTGGACTCAATAACGAATACAGCATGAGCCATGATGTCTGATTTTCAAACAAATTACTCTTATGAACTGGTTCTTTTTAACGATTCAGTCAAAAAGATTCATTCGCTTG